CAAAGGGCGGATGTGAGAAATAGAGCTTGCGCCTTATTAATAACGATAATAGCGGCAGTAATGCGCGTAAACAGTAGAGACATACGGCTTACGGTCTAACGGTAAACGCTTCTCGACGCGGATAAACGGAATACAGGAGTGGAAGTCGGGATGTAACCCCTTTGTGTCGAAAAGCGCCGTAAATACTAGTACGATTATCCCTCGGCGCGATTCATAATGCAGGAAAAACGATGCACGATTACGCAGTCAGCCAGCCAAACCCAATCCAGCGCTTTTCACCACGACTCTACAATCCTCTTTCTCGTTTATCCCTATCCCCTGCCCCCTCCCCCCCCCCTTCGCCAGACCCCTTTTCTTCTTCTCTCCGTCGCTCCTTCAAGTGCCGTTCCTGTCAACGATCAAAGGAGGAAAGTGGAACAGGGAATTTTCCTCTTTCCCGAACTTCCTCCTTTTATATCTTGCGTTGGGTCGGTATCTATTTGTAGCTGCAATGAGGTGGGCGCGGAGATTGCATGTCGCTATTAAAGGGGTTCGGCGTGAAATTGATCTATAATATCGGGGTCACTATCACTATAAGGGATTATGGGCAAATCTGCATAGCGATTGAGATAATTGAAATTGCAATTACACAAATTGCATTTATGCAAATCGCGTCCCGTATGTTGTCGCTGTAAGTTTCGGCTATCGCTAATTTTAGTCGAATGCCGAACGTGTCACCTCGAGAATATATATTATTTATACGGTTGTGTGTGTGTGTGTGTGTGTGTGTGTCTGTTTAAATAAGCATATATATTGTTAAATGTGATTGTACGTCCATGTAAGGGAGTTCATAATTTTTCTGGAAAAGTGTGAAGATCTTTTATTCCTTCACAAATAACTACTGTTTGCTTTAAGTAAAAATTATGAAACTCCACTTACTTACGGACACGGTTGCCACCTCACGATAAATATATTGCGAGACATGAAAGTTCAAAATATTTTATTGCAATTCGCCGCTCGTACCATCGCCGTTTGTTATGCTTCCGTGCTGGCCATCTTCAGCTGCTATATTTTCATCTTTGCGAAATATACCTCGCGTTAGACCCTACGACTGCGTATTACGACACTCGCATAAACCGGTCTTAAAGTCGCAGTCTAACAGTCAGGTACTGACCTGAAACTAATACAGCCTGCCATATCGTATAGAGACACTCCGCAAATATTATATCTGTACATCGTTTCGATCTCTCACAAACGCTGCTATCTCTCCCTGACTTTTAGCTGTGAAATATTATTTGCAGTTTCGCGGCATGGAAATTCAAATGTGTTTAATCTAGCTAGCAGTCGTCAAAATTTTGACACGGTTTATGTTTTATAACAGTTATATGTTCTTGCTCGATATAAATTGTACAAATTCCTAAATCTGTAATTATAAAAAATCAAAATGCTAACGATATACTGTAAACAAAATTAATACTCTATCTATTGTTGATATGATTATGATTACAATAACCAATTATTTCTATTTAGAAATTAGTTTCTAAATCAAATTTACAGCGAAAATTATTTTTATATCGTCGGATAGCAAATTATGAATATTTATATAACAAAATATACATTATCGGCACAGAAGAATAATTCAGTAATAGGAGGCGAAGCTAAGAACAAGTGAGCGCTTATGATATATGTTGGAATTCCTCCTTTATCTTATCGCAGCCTTTTGGACAAACATATTCTTACACACAGGCGCGACGTAAGAGTCACAGCCGCGAGATGTGAGCAGGTGCATCGGCGCTGGAGTTTACTAGCAATCTCTCGCGGAAAAGTAAAACAACCCGTCGTCCCAGTTGCAGCCGCACGACGTCTCCGTATCCATTCGCCGAATACTGCATACATATGATCGTGAGGAGGATGGCGAAAGTAGACAACGGCGAAAGAGAGAGAGAGAGAGCGCGACGGGAGAAAATGGAGGGAGACGGAGGAAAAACTCTGGCCACCCTGGTAGCTATTCCGGCATATTTACAGAGAGAATAGGGGGAGAGGGGGGGGGGGAGGAGATACGTTTTAGTTTTGCATTTGTCGCCGAGGAGAAATAGTGCTTCGAGAGGAGAGTGCTCGGGGTAGGTGCGCGTAGGTAGATAGCGAAGGAAAAAGGGAAGTGGAGAGAAGGTGATCGTAGGTAGGTGGATAGATACGCGGCGGCGGACCGCGTCGACCGGCGATGGGAAAGAGAACGACAAGAGAGATACGAGACTGCTATCTAACCACGCGAGCGGCTGTGCGAGTCGGGGAGCAAGAGAGGCAGGGATGCAGATAGCAACAAGGGGCTGTGAGGGGGGGGGAGGGGGCAAAACGGCAGGGACGAAGGATGGAAGGGAGGAGGCAGGATCGGGTCCCATGTGCCTGTCACGGTTTTACAAGTCCATAAAAAGAGGAATTTCAGACTGAGTTAAATATTGCTGCCGCCCTCACTGAATTTCAAGCACGCACACGCGTGCACGAGCTCGCCGCCGGTACATATATAATGCGGGGTGCACACAGAGACACGACCGCGCACCTTTTCACACGTGTAACGAGCGCCGAATGGTGTGGGGAATCTTCCTGCGATATTTATTTGGCCGTCATGCGTGCCTGTTAAATTATTTCAGGTTCGCACCGGCTCGCGCGCGGACGTCGATGCCGAGGGATTTGGGAATGTAACGGGTGGACTTCATTCATCATTCATATCATTCACACACTGTTGTAATTGACAATAAGTTGTATCTCAAAATATTCGTAAGCCCGCGTCGCGTCTGTTGTCCCGCGAGCGCGGCGGATAACATAACAAATTTTTTTGCGCAAAAAAAAAAGAGATTGAAAAGCTTTTCTAATTCGTCCGGCTTGCATTGTAATCCGTATTCGTATCAACTCTCCTATGCGCACGAGCGTGCAGAGATCGTGGGAAGAAAGTAGTTATGACGGGTTTCGTGGTTTATGGCTGATTCTCTGGGGATCCCAGACACAGGAAGCAAAAGAGATTATCACAAGGGACGTACGCTTAATCCCGAACTACCGCTGTACCGGACAGCCTTACGCGTAGAAGTTATTCTAGAAATACATGGAACTGTTACGCCAAGCCCCATTTCACTGAATATCCTTTATCTATGTATGTAGAAATGCTGAAATAATAAATTAAACGCGATGACGAGCGAATTATGTCTGTGCACTTGGCAAAATCTGTGACAAAACCGGAAAAAAAATCTATCGCTTTTTACGTAACGTAACGTATTTTTGTATTACGCATTTTTTCTACTATATTATAATAATTATTGCACGCTGCGGCGCACAGCCGCACTATATCTATCGCCCGATTTGAAAATTAAATTGGAAGTATCTGTTATCGTGAAGGGAGATGAAAGATAATTAATTCTAAGCATCGTTTGATCCATATTCGCTGTGCGTTTCAGTATGTAATGTTCCAACGATTTCTCTTTTCAGCGATAAGAAAACTGGAGCATGTTTTATTGACGCTGAAAACTATACGGTGCCGTGAGATGCTGGAAAATCTATTTCTAACGCGTTGTATCGAATACAGAAACTGTAATGGCTTGTCGGATCGTGACGATTCGCGAAACTGGCGCTTTGATACATAGGTATATGTACATAGGTGAACTTAGATACTTGTTCGATTATCGAATGTACTCTTATTTTAGTTATCTAAGTAATACAAACCTTATTTATTTAGAATTATATTAATATACTGTATAAAATTAATAATTTTGAATATAAATAATATATCATTATCGATAATACAAAAAGCACGTTATTTTCAAGGAAAATATTAACGTACTCATTATTAATATTAATATTTACATATTCACGATTCGAATTTGTTCTACAAAATTGTATTACCGTGAGTTAAAATTTTTACATGGAGATTCTCGTTGCCAATGTTACTGGTTAATAGGAGTCTCAAACGTCTGTCGACGTTAAACATTCAATTAACATTCGATTCGATTAAACATGCGAGTGATTGTAGTTACACGGAATCAAGATAAAACGATGTTATTAACGATGTATTTAATAAATGCTTTTTTAATAAAACATTAATTTAATGTCACAGATGTTAAATTATTTTATTTTAGCCTGGTAAATTAATTTAATTTCTATTCGACGATAATGGGTTTTGTGAAATAATTATTAAAACAGAAAATGCAACAATAATTTTCTAAAATTTTATATGAAATAATATATATAAAATTTGTAAAAATATCTTTTTGTAAAATTAGAGATAATATAAATTCTATTAAAAATAAAAAATTGGAAAATAATGCAAACGTAATAATAAAATAGTTATAAAATAAGATTGATAATTTCATATAATCCATCTATTAAATTTATCCAATGTTTAGATTTTCAAATGTTTAAACTTTAAGTGGACATGTTTCATTATTCAATCGTAATTGCGAGTTATTCTTTCATTATGACAAATAACATTATATAATTTATCAAATTTTATTTGATTATATTATAAGCATCATAAAGAAATAATATAGATTAATTATCAAGAATTATTTGAGCACGTATATTTTACCTGTACGCATTATAATATAAATGATATATATCAAAAGAATAAGTGTATAGTATTATTGTCGCGCGATGTAATGATGATAAATGAGAGGCAGTACTCTATTTTATTACAACTAAATAATAAATACTTGATACAAATATGTAAATTAAATATTATTGCTTTAGTAATTTTATCTTTACATATTAATATAGAAATATTAAATCGAATCTATTCGAACCTTTGTTTATCTGCTAGTACTCGATGAGAAGACTTTCGAAGCTTCTTGCGTCACGTATTGCACAAACTGTACTTTTACTTTGAAGCGGTTTTAAAACTTTTTTCCGACAATAATTTTCGAATTGATCATACTTTGATTATGCACTAATCGAACAAGTCAAGTGAATACAGAAAACATATATTGCTAAATATTTTTTTCATGCAAAAATAAAAATCTAAAAAAGTGTGTACTTACTGCTCGTGTCCTGCTTTGGTTGGTTACCCGGCGACGTCGCCCAGTTAACTTTCATCTCCTGAAACATAAAAAAGCAATGCATTTAGTGTTACGTGATAATGCAGCAAGAAAACAGCACAAGATGTTGATGCGCGCTTATAAGCAGCGCGTCAAGTCGTTTCTATTTACATCGGCATAAACACAGCAATTCTTTGCATTACTACTGATTTTTGGAGTCGGAAAAATGTCTTAGACAAACTTAGGAGAATCGATCACATTACTAGTAAATCGGATCCGCAGATTCTAGCAGCGAGGAAGTGGTTTCACTTGGAGAAGACGTCGGACGGCGGAAATGGGACGTGTCGGGTATCGCCGAGTCCTAACAGACGCCGTAAACTGGATTCTTTATGCATCGCCGTGTACCCGCTCGTGGCGTCGCAGATATTCGATAGATAGTAAAAGTCATTTCGGTGGAATCGATCGCATCCCGGGAAAAAATGAAGATACGTAAACGCGGCGAGATTCACGAACGAGCCGCGGAATAAGTTTCACTGTATTGAATTTCGCAACATACGAGACGTCCGCAGAGAGCCAACGGCTAATTCTATACTATCACGCGTGTGCCGTACATCACTGATTTTATGCCACCCTTTGTCAAAAGCTGCTCCAACAGAGAGTGCACTAAGAATGATAAAAATCCATCAGTTTTATCGACAACTCATTGTTCTTTCAGACAGTGCGGTGCGCAACACTGACTTCCCTTGTAAAACGTTATTGGCAATTAATAAACCTTCCGGGAAAATTCCGTGCAAAAATATGCGTTCGACTCGTCGACGTATTACTTTCGTTTTAACAAATCTTTATTTTCCTATTATTTTCATCTTTATTTTTCTCGCTTCTTCTTGTACTTTATTCGAAAGCAATCTTATTGAGATACATTGCATGATTGCAACTTTATTCTTCAACGTAATCCTATTGCCAATTAACGGTGATAGATTTCACGAGCATGATATAAGCGAGAAACAGTAAAATGTTACGGACGAAGTGCGGATAATAAAAGCCACGTGTACGATACGCAGAAAATGCAGACAGGCTTAATGGAAGAATGGTGTCACCAACGTGGACGATACACCGGCTGTATCAGTACGTGTTAATTCGGTACACGCAACCCGCGTAGTGTTGATATTGAATCGTTACTTTTCATTTTCTTGACCGTCGGCATAGCCGACCCTCGGCGTCGTTTGTGCAGTCTCGGACAGGTTACGGTATTTAAATCCTCCTGGGTTACAAGGGTTTATGAAACTTGCGCGTAGACAGAGATAAAAATAGCATTTTTCGAGACGCGGCAATTAATCGCTGACAATTCTTTTAATAAGGATATAAAATTACAATGCCCGAAGCATTACATTATCTTTTAATAAACGCGGATATGAATTAATGTTGTGATTTGATTTCTTCTTGACAAAATTATCATTGTGACGGCTATTAATGAATTTTACAGTGCATGCTGAGAGAATCAATATATATCATTATTTGATTTCGGTAACGCGTCTGATTTAACTGCTCATGGGATTTACGTCTCCGAGCAGATATATTTTTCGTAATTTCACAGGCCCGCATTTGCACGTTGATGCTAAATGCACACCTCTAAAATCGATATAATCGAATGATAATTGAACCGAATTATGGCGAAATGTGCGAACAGAGGCAAAATACTCCGTACCGCTTGATAAAGCATTTACGCCCATGCGGTGCTTTGTACGATTACCAGCCAGCCGCGTATCGTAAACTATTTTACAAAATATATTTGGAAGCGGCATTGGGACGCCGCAACTAAACGGTAAACTAACCGTAGCAAATAGTCTGCCGAATAGTATATCGGACACTAGTATGCGTATGGAAGTTAAATAACCTATGTTATTGTCTATTATGTAGTAATATGAATATGAATTATTTCTAACTGGCTGATAGCTTCGTTAGCCATGAATGGCACCGGGATAATTGTTGTCGTTGCCAGCCGGTGCGTTGCTTCGAACAAACGCAGTAAAAAATAATACGGCCCGGCGCTATTTCGTTATTCCGTTGCATAACGCTGAAACAGACTTCTCGAGATTTCCGTCGGAGTGGTTACTGCGGAAAGAAGGGAACGAGACGGGAACAAGTAATGTTAAACGGGGAAACCGCGGCGCGGAAAAGTGCGAAAGATAAGGAATACGAGGCGGGGAATAAGTAAGCGAGTGACTATATAAGTAAGGAAGCGAGTAAGTCTGGTAAGTAAGTAAGTTAGGACAGGACAAACGCGCGCGCGAGTGCCCAAGACGGCCGGTACGCGCGAACACGGGGCCCGCAGTGTGTCTGCAGCAATTTGCAACTTTTAATAGTTAGCCTGGGTTGCCGAGGTCGTCTGCCGGTCCAGAGCCCGTTGTTTTATGGTTTATACAGGAGGAAAGCAGGTTTACATGTCGTAGTTTTGAACAGTTAATGCACACGCGCCTTATGCTGAACCCCCACACCTCCGGCTATATTTATATATTAAAAGGTGAAGTTTCCGTCCGATACGCCACCTTCGTATACTCCGCGCGTACATCTAAACTTCCGTTTTGTATAACTCGCTCGCGAAACGAGGCCGACCTAGAATTACAGTTGCAGTAAGGAACGGCGATTGCCGATACCTCGAGTCTTATCGAGCAATTGCATCCGCGAGAATATATACATTCTTAATTTTCATTCAATTGCAATCAAATTTATCTTTTATATTATTTATAAATAAGAATATGTCACATACGTGATGTTTTTAATAAACACAATCTCTCTAATATAAATTGTATAATTAATTGATAATTGATTGTATAATTCAAATTAATATTCTAAATAAATCAATGACATTTCGAACAAATAGATAAGACACGTCAGAATTGTTACAATTTCAACTAAAATAGCAGTAAAATGCACGCTAAAAAGAGAGTTTAACAAAAGAGGAATATATAATTAACGTAATAATTATTTTACCATTTCATTATAGCGACGTCCTGTCGTATTAAATAATCCCGATGCTACGGCTTCCGCGGAGAGACGTGTCGATATTCGCGAATGGAGTCGACATGAAGGAAATCGGAATTCTTTATCACCCTCACACCATCGCGTAAACAAAATCGAGGAATTTTCTGGTCGGCCGAGTGTGAGATCCGTTTCGCCTTTTGCGGCCTACGCAGCGGGCTAAACTCGAAAGCGGCAAATGTTGTCTGCGAACTATCCAACTCTCGCGCAGAGTATCGCATTACTTCGACACGAGGGGGAAATGCGGATGGATCAGTGTGGCACTCTAATGCAAGGCTTAGACCGCGATGTAGGGGAGCGATTACATATTACAGATGTGAAAGTTGAGTTATTGCGGGCGAGCATCGGCAGGAAATCGGGCAGAAATTGCAAGCTGCTGCAGTTTTGACCTTAGACCGAGCAGTCGCCTGCCGGTCAGATATTTATTGTCCTATTATCGTGATTGATGCGCGGCCGCCCACTGGTCAGTATCTTATATAAGTACATTTAATGGGGTAAGGCCGTCTCGGATTTTCGCATGACGAAGGGCGCCGGCACTATATTGTCGTTTAACATTATGGCCGATGCAGCGGCCAGTACAGCCGGGTGGATTTGTAACGTTTTCTTACTTATGCCTTCTTATTTTCCAGCCACATGGCGCCATTAGTCGACGCGGCACCGCTAACGCTTCTCGCCTGCTGCGGTAATAAGTCACGGAAATGCTATCGTAAGAAATTTACGGGACACTCGCTTACTTTCCGCGCGCGCACTCTCCTGAACGGGGGGTGGGAGGGGGGCGGGGGAGTGCCCAGTAAACCCCGTGACAATCCTCCGTGTCGGCTCAATCGTTAATTACCGCTGTAAATATCGGTATTTCGTACGTTCGAGGTGCATCGACCTCGCTCGTTTCCACTTCCGATCTAATTGATACTTTTTACCGTCGGAAACACGTGCGACAACTATTTCGCGTGGGAAAAATCCAAACGTTCTCGCGAACGCTTAATGCTGTAAATCACTCCTTCCGAGGAAAGTGACTTTTTTTCAAATTCGCTTTGTTCCGGTGCGCAGAGTATCTTTAACTTCCCTAGAAATTTATAACATCCATCTTGCCGTTTTTAAGAAATCATGTATTAAGCACGATGTAAGAAGGGGAAATTAGAACTGAAAGAAGTATATATTGTTATATTTAAAATATTTTATTTAGAGAATATTAAATGTATTTCACGATAATTTAATATTATTATTAATTATTTCTACGCAAGCCAACTTTCGTGGAATGTTGTTTCAGTTATAAGCTTTTTCATTTTCGCAAACCATTAACGCAACCGTTTGTTCTCAAATGCAGATCAAATTACATGAAAGAGAAAGGAATAATATATAAAGATTTTTCATCATATAAATAATAGGAATAATAGGATTAAATATGAGAATTTGATTAATCAGTAATTTGATTAAATATTAGAAATGGCTCGCGTAACAGAGTCTAATAGTTATTATGGAAGATGAGGGAAAGAGATATAATCGTAGTAATGGCAATTCAATAATCCGCGTGTTATGTTAATTACCAATTAACTGTAATAGGACCGAAAACAAATAAATCGGAGGTTTACGCATTACGGTAGTTAGGACAATCGATTTTCCGTTTACGCATCAATACACTGTAAGCAGAAAATTGATTTATAATGACGTCACTTTCGGTGCGACCGCAGTAACCGCTATGGTTTCAATAGTGCTTGAATTTCAATTTGTCCATTATTAATTGATTATGCTGATCATATGAAATCGATATGTGAGTTTCAGACAATTTATGAGTTATCCTAATCAATGCGAGCGCTCATAAATTTGCAAATAGATCAAGTAATTTTAACAAATCATTTTCTCAATTCCATCATGACTGCATTTGATTCACGAAGCAATAAAGTTTGTTCATGCAGTTCGTATAATTTTTAAAAGCAATCCTGTTTTATCGCAGTATTAATTATTATAAACTATTAATTACTGATCTTATTGTTTTTTTTTTATATAATTGCATAACAATATTTC